ATGTTGCGGAGGTAAAATATGTAATATTGAAAGACAATCCATCAAGTGTCAATTCATAATTATCATATTGCTGTTTTGAAAAGTTCTTTTATTAAAGAATTCATTGAAATTTTCAATTTTTGCAAAGAAATTTTAAAATAATGTCTCAAGAATTTTTACAACTCTCAATTCTAAACAATTTAATGTATTACACCACAACAGTTTTAAAGATATACATGTTACACATTAATATGATTTAAGATTATAGATAACATATTTACTAAACTGTATTACTGAAATGGCTAATATTAGAAATAGCTGTATAATTCTGTACATAGCTGTTTACATGGATTTCTTTATGAACTGATGTGCTTGCAATAACAATGTTATATTTTAAAAGCATATATTAATTACTGGAAAGAAAAAAAAAAAAGATAAAGACCTGTCTTTTGCAGTTTTTACATTGGAGCTTCCACATAATGATAAATCAAAGTATCTTTAATGAAATTCCAACAAAATTTGTTTGTACTATGTGATGCAAGAAGGGAAATATATAGTATTATAGCTGAAATCTTTTTTAAGAAACAAATTATTAAAACAAGATTACTGAATAATTTATAAAAATGGAAACACTAATCTTAAAAATAACAAAAAATAACTTTAGATTACAAAATACTGTTATTTTAGTATAAAGTGCAGCAAATTTATTATTGTAAATATTTCCCAATATTTAAATCTTTTTTGATTGCATTGCTGTAAATATTTAAATCCTTCTTGGTTGCCTTATTGTTTTGTTACGCAAATGAACTCTAGAGTTATCATTCTTTATTATTATTTGCATTTATTCCTGTTTTTAATTTGTGGCCATATGTTTTAAATTAAAGCATTTGTTTCTCAATAGATTTGTAGAAATGCTACACTAAATAAATACTACTCTGAGAGCTAGGGAAATGGTTGTTAACCAGCTGTGAGATTTAATGGTGAAGGTGTTTGCTGAAATGTGGTACAGTGTTTACTCTAGGAGTGATTTTGGAAATTGATAATATTTTTCATGTGCTGAGAATTACTTCATATACTCTTTGAGGTATTTCATGCTATTTATTGTGCTGTATATCATAAATGTTTATAATAAATCATCCTGTTTATCTAGAGTGATTATTTAAAAGACCACAAAGTTAATAGCTCACAACAACTCGTATCAGAATTCTGATTGTCTCTGAATGCAGATAACCAGAAAAATGTAACAGCAGCTGAAAAAGATTGTTGCCAGCCAGCAAGAAGTACCAGCTAAAGAAGAACACCAGAAAGGAACGGCTTTAAAATTATCCAAATTTCAGGGTAGGTGCATGTCATTGAGTTACGTGAATGATGTGAAATGTGCAGCTCTCCAGCGCACGTTAAAGAAGATATAAGGGAAGGAGCCATTAGAATGTTCAATTTTCATGCCATTATTTCTGCTACAGAAATCATTGTAGAAAATTTGTTCTTGTCTGTATACAAAATAATCATGTATTCTGTGCTATTACATTATCAGAATAATAATGTCTTTAATATCATTGTAGAAAATTTATTCTTGCATGTTATAGCACAGAGTACCAGGCCGTTAACGAAGGATCAACGGAAGCATTTCCAGCAGATTAACGATTTTACAAGGGACCTGGTGATCGGACTGAGACGGGCAGGATGGTCCATAAGGCAAACCTCAGCCTACACACACCTGGGCAAGTCCAAAGTGCACCGGCTGTACTGATGATTGTTGGAACAAGGAAATGTGGCAAGTTCAAGAGGTGCAGGTGCACCCAGAGTGATGTCACAACACGTGGATCAGTGCATCCACAAGCCACATCTACCTCCATTCTGCAGCATGTTCAAGATACCCTGGATGTTCCCATATCGACCAAAACCATTTGCCATCGACTGGTGGCCAGTGGCCTGCACTCAAGGCTTCCATTAAGAACACTGCCATTGTCCCCACACCATAGACACCAACATCTGCAATGAAGCCAGGCTCAAGTGATGTGGACGACACAATGGCATACGGTCATGTTCTCATATGAATCATGCTTCTGTTTCTACAATGATAGTCGCTGCATAGGAGTGTGGGGTCGATGTGGAGACAGGTCTAATCTGGCAGCAACTGTGGAACGCCCCACCACATAATGCAGTATTGTGTTTTGTGCTCTGTTGCGATTCAAGATCACCTCTAGTTCGTATTCAGGGCTATGGTGGCCCGATGATACGTGATTGATGTGCTCCCCTACATTCAGAGAGTGTCCAGTGCCCTTTATCAGCAGCATAACTCCCGACAACACGCTGCTCACATTAGCCAGCGTGCTCTGCAAAATGTACACATGCTTACCTGGCCACCGTTCTCATTTGATCTCTCACCAATCGAACACATTTGGGATGCGACTGGATGCGATTTGCAGACCCTACTACTGCCACGTTCAGAAGATGAACTGTAACAAATGGTTGACAGGGAATGGAAAGCCATTCCTTAGGACACCATCTATAGTGTTAATTAACTCTGTACCTAGACATGTTACTTCGTGTATTGCTATCTCAAGTGGTCCTACAACCCATTAAGCTGAGGCTGTTCTTGGTGTGTATTATAAATATCATTTCAAAATAAAGATCACTTATTGTTCTCTGCCGTCTTTCTCTGTTTGACGAGTTTCATCACGTTCTAGCCACTCCTTCTTGATGTTGCATTTTCAATGTCGGGTAGTGTAAACAAACAATGCAGCCCATCAGAATAAAATGCATCTCCAAAGTGGCCCACATAGGCTTTTGAGTTGCAGAGGCCCACTGTATGCCATGAAAATGAAGGCTTCACAGAAAGCCTGCAGAAGAGTCATTCATCCTATACAGGATACCATCTTTACTAAAGGCACAAAGCTGAAAGTGGTGACTAAACCGATGAAAAGAGAAGAGGTGACAGAAGGATTCAAGATTCAAAGCAGCCACAATAATAAATTAAAGCACCAGAGCTGAAGCAGTAAAAAGCATTTACAGAAGCAGAGTTCTATTTGTAAAAGACTAAGTAAAACTACACAAAGGAGCAGAAACTAGTGAAAACATAAAACTGTTGTCAGAGCTCTACAGATATCAGTTCATGGTGGAAATCAGAGACTCGGTGCTGAAAGAGATATAAATGGACTTCCTTGGTACACATGATTGCAGATACCAATGCTAACAAAACTATTTTGAGAACTGATGTACCTTGATAATAAACAAAAAGATTCCATTTCTGATTCTACAGACTGTGAATGAAAAGAAAACAAAAGTTCTTGGGAAAATGAATGTGCACATCAAGTTTGCACATCTCAGATATATGAGCACATAGTTTATGCAGCTGGCTTAAAAGATACATCTTTGGAGATATTTTTTTTAATCTGGATTTACACATAAAATAATAATGATCTGAGAATATCCACTGAAGAAATACCCATGTTTGGATGGAATGAAAATTAAATGAGCTGCTTTAAAATAACTGCTCACAATAATATTACAATCCTTCCTAGAATGAAATATTTCATTGGTGGTACAGCAGAAACTGACAAAAAGCTGCATGTGGGAATAAATGATTTTCCTGAGGAAAATTCGCATTTAAGACTTTGAATTTTTGGCATGGATAAGACTCAAACCACTATTTTACATCTAGAGTCAGATAGCAGGGTAAAGAGATTCATTTGAACAATCTTGGATCATCTTTCTCTATTTGTATCACAAAGCCAGAATCAACTGCCAGTTACTCCTGCTGTTTAGGAGTGCTGTTCATAAAAGTAAAGGAATATCATTTTCTCCCATCACAGATCATTTTTGGGCATAATCTTTGTTTGCCATGGCACCTCCTGTTTAAATGAAGATCAGACATGCCTTTTTTTTTTTGTTTCAAAAGCACCTGGAAGATCTGTAGCTGCATTTAGGAGACATTTGTTGGATTGACAGGAGAAAGATCAACACCGTGACCAAGACGATGGATACAGCATATGATGCGAAGCCAATGGAGAGGAAATTCAAGGAAGCACATTGACTGGAATCGCAAAAAACTCCTTCTTCTAAACCTAGGAAGTGCACTACTATAGACTTCCACCTTCTTATGGTAATGAGGGAATATTATAAACATTTAAATCCTTTTTAATTGCATTGTTACTTTTCTGTATTGTTGTAATATTATGTATTTATTTACTTTGTTGCTTTTATAATGATAATTTTATGGTTTATTTTGTGTTTCATCAAATTTCAAACACGTTTCGTGTTAGATAAAAAGGCAGCAAATTATTGATAGGTATTAACGAACTAAATGAACTTAAATGCTAAATGAACTTAAACACTGAATGAATGAAAAACACTAAATGAACTTAAATGCTTATAAATTAATGAAAACTTAAAATTTTAGAACTCCTATTTAAATTACATATGAAAAAAAATGAGAAAACTCCTTTCGGCAAATATTTAGGAGAAACACTTAACAACTTTTAGCCATTAGGACACCATTAAGTATTAGTTTCTTACACAGAATTGTAAATCTTTCAGTTCTGAATGCTATGATGTTAAAATTGTAAAAATAACAGAAACAGAACATAAGATATGGGTAAATATGCTCTTAAGGGCTTTGGTGACTTACTGGAAGATTCTGGAAAACAAATTTTTGAAGCCCCAAGACTGATTCTTCCTGAAGATTCCAGAAGCCCATGCTACACTAAATTAATGCTAATCTGAAAGGTAGGGAGTTAACTGATAATCAACTGTGCGATTTAATTATGAATATGTTCATTGAATTGTGATATAGAGTTTATTCTGGAAGTGATTCTAAGATCTGACAATATTTCTACTGATGAGGAACTGCTAAATATCCATATTCTTCTAGAATTATTTCCAGCTATTTATTATGCTGTATGTCATGAATTTGTATAATAAATTATTATTTTCTTCTTGCTAATTTGAAGTGAATATTTAAAGAGACAACATTGAATCCAAAGATGGCAATATTTCCATATTTTAATATCACTACTTACTGATCAAAGCTCCTAAGTTGAAAGGTGTTATTTTATCCACAACTATAGAATTAGTTGGTTTGTTACCAAGGAAGACCTATTAAAATAATACTTATATATAAAATTGCACAGAATATAAAATTGCACAGAAAAATCTAAAATAAATTATTTATACAAACCTTATGTGGTAAAATTTTTTGCAGAGTTTCATCAGACATACCAGCTTTCTTTAACTCTTCTTCAGCTTCACTTTTGGTTTTGCCTCTCATTAATGCCTCTGGCTGAGCAAGGAAATTTGCTAATAAGATCTAGGAAATAAATACAAAATATCGTATTATTTAAAGAATAATAAATAAAAACATTCCTGGGTTTTCATTCACAATATCTATATGCCAGTTTAAATAAATTTGTACATAACAGAAAATTTGCTACTTTAAAAATTCGGAAAACAGTGAAAGAGAAAAAAAAAAATATTTTTACAAGACACATATTTAACATAAAGATTTTTAACTTATCTAATCTAAAGAATCTACATCTTTATAGATGTTTTAAATAAATGCAATCAAAGTTATGATTAGGATTCAAAAGATTAATCAAGAGCTACAAATTCTGTGTGGCCTAAGTAAGTAATTATCTCAGTTTTTAATTACAAACTTTTGTAATAAAAACTAAGATAATTATATAAAAATATTAAACTTATATAAAAATACACAACCAGTTATAAACATCATTTAAATTATTAAAGAGGAAGCCAAAGATATGACAAATCTCGACAAAAGGTATATATAACAGAATATAATCATAATAAAGTTTAACCTCATGATGAAGTCCATTGTTGATAGGATTATGAGTTTGAACAGGAGCTATGAAATCACATGGAATGAGTCTTGTACCTATAGACAGACATTTCTAAAATTAATACAGTGTCAAATGAAAGCTTAATATTAAAATAACAAATGAAATTTTAGTATGGTTATCAATATGAAATCATTTTGAAGTTCAATCCCCCCTCCCCACTTTTTTTTTTTTCACTTATGATTACAGCAAAGCATAGAAAGAGGTCACCTGTATTAAGTAAGGCATAATTTTGAAGAAAACTTCCTAAGAAACATTGATTCATATTAAGTTCAAAGAAAAGTATGAAAACTAAGTTTTAATTAGAATCCGAGTCTAGACTGAACTGCTTCAGTAATCATCCACTCGACCAATAGTGAGCCAGATCCAGTTCTTAGAAACTTTCCAATACCATTGTCATAAATCAGCCCGATTTGAAAAAATTACTTAAAAACACAGCTAAATAGAGCTTTGACTTTCAGAATACTAAGAATACGTGCTGTTGGCTGATTCTGGTTTAGTAGATTAAGTTTTTAGTAAAAGAATAATAGCTAGTCTTTTTAGGAAAAAATTTTGAAGGAAATGATGGCTGATTCATTACATTAAATAGTTGTGCAGGTTAAATAAGGCTAGCCGGTACTTTTCCAATTCACCGGCGCAAACCTCACCAAGCAGACTTTGTTGATGACAGCATACAGTATACACATAAAAAATTTTAATTATAAGAATTCTTTATTTTGAAGGCATAAACATATTAATATGATTTAAAATTTTGTAAAAAGCCAATAAATAAAGACAATAAATTTGTAAAAAGACATTAATTTAAGAATTTACTGTGCTCTCATGGTTCAACATCCTGATTCGTCGGTTCATATCACGCGACCTAAAGTGATCTATCTCATCTCACGTAAACTACACTACAAAAATATAATTCTCTCTAATATCTACATTAATTTCAAGTTAAATCTTAATTTGGAATGCAAGTTTAAATGCAAGAATTATTTCAATTCGTACGAATAGCTTAATCAGATATCATGTAAAACCGCAGTGCTTTACTTCGCTAGTGCATTCTCATTAGAATTGATGAATTTATTATAATCCTTAATTTTGCCTTTCCTATATTTTTGCCTTTGGGTGAGCTGTGTGATTGCATCCTAATTGACTTAATTACCTCAAATGGTCTTAGGGTATAAAATTTAACTATCTTTTGTAAAAATTCTATGCCAGTTTTGAAAGAAACAATCAATCTAAAAAGAAATGCTGCGACTTGTTTTGAAAATGAAGAGTAAAAGGTTACCAGCGAAGATATTCTGTTTGGCATCAGTTGTACCATTATTGGCAACTTTATCGTTTGTGCTGGCAAAATGGAAAAGTACCGGATAGGCCCTGTGCTTCTCGAAAGTATATTAGGTATCACTGCACCTTGTTAACAATTCAGGAGTGTGTGGCGCAAGGATCTCCTAACCCTCTTTCCCTACAATAAACCACCCTACAGAACTTTCTGCTTGTCATGTATTTTGAGGGTCTCCTTGCTGTACAGACACTATACACTTAAAAACATCCACGCTTTCTCTGGAATTCGAATATGACCCCATCAGTATGGTAGTCAGCATCACTAATCACTACACCATCTAGGTGGCTTAGCAGTTATACAAAAAAAAGGGAAAAGTAATATTTACTTGTCTATACTTATCACGTTATCTTTGGAATATTTGTCTTTCAAACATGGTGACAAAATTTGAAAACTGAAAAAAGAAATTTACTTTCCCAATAACAACATGATTTTATAAAGGTTTTAGCACTGAGAAGTTGCCCAGTATGATTACCAGTAGAAAGCAAAAATTGCTGAATACTGTTCTGAAGATACTTTCAGTTTGGCTGACAATTTCACTTTTTGATAGACAGTATGGGCAGTTCAAGCATATATACAATACTTTAATATATTCATTAACAAATTTAAGATATATAAGCATTATAATAAATAATAAAAGTATCTTAAATAAAAAATATATATAAATTTCAAATATTAAAATGTATGCAATACAGCATATGTTCAATTAAATATGACAACTGCTGAAATTAATACATGCAACACATTTTGAAATTTAAAACTCATATACAAAAAATGAAAATAAGTTCCTCTCATATTTTTTATATTTATGTTATTTTATTCTCATACAAAAAAATAGTAAATGAATTTTAACATCATTTAACAAAAGAAATGAAAATAACAACTAAGTCACTTTAGCAGCAATTTTGAGGTGGTCAAAAGCAGGAGCTAATGGAAAAACACCTCCACAAACTACTGATTTTATTACCAAGATAATTTCCCTGGTTCTACATATGAAAACGTTCAAGCTGCTAAAAGCTGAGTAGTTTTAAAAACCTTGCAGATGATATGTGTTTTAAGAGATACTCCACATACTTTTATTAACCATTATTTCATCTCCCTTTATTTCCTTCATTATATTCAATAGCCTTTCTGTTTCAACGAAAGGTAAAGTAATAATTTTAAATTTACAATTAATAAGTAAACAGAAGCATTTACTAACTTATATGATGTCCTCAATATGTAAATAAAAATAGTTTCTTATTTTTAGATTAATAAAAATGCTAAGATTTTAGTTTTCATACTTAATACAGAAACATAAAAAAATCAAATATAAGACATTAAAAACAATCCTGCTTAAATTTTACTATTTCCAATAATCATATTACTTTTCTTTCTGCTGTCAAATCCTTTTCCCACAATTTAAATAAATTTACCTTGATGGATTAATTGATAAAATGCATGCTGTCCATTAGTTCCTGGTTCTCCCCAAACAATTGGACCTGTTGTGTAAGTTACTACTTCACCACTGCGAGTGACATATTTTCCATTTGACTCCATATCTCCTTGTTGAAAATAAGCAGCAAACCTATGCATGTACTGTACAAGAAATAAAAAGTATTAATGGATATTATGCCAATTGAGATCATAAAACATAAATGAGAATTATGTATAAATTTTATTAAACTTCATATAAAACGCATGAAATTTTTAAACAACACAAGTAGAAATGTACTGCTATTCTTATCCTTACTATAATAAAGTTATATATGTATATGTATATATAAATCTGAAAGCTTTTATATTATGCCCAAAGGGGTATTTGTTTTAGCGTTTTGCATGTTACCTTTATTTATTAACACACCATGTTCTTCACACTTACCATAAAATTCAATTCAATAGATTTCTTATTCAATTAATTCAGTTCTCACTTCGAGGCAAAGGAAAAATTCATACAAACTCAAAATATCTTAATTTAAAATTGAAAGATATAGAAAAACATAAAACACCAAATACAGATAAAACAAACAATTTTTACAATTAACAGTTTCTATGCAAAAACAAGCAACAGGGCATATTTTTCGGTGCACAAAACAAAGTTCATTTTTGGTCCCACTCGGCAAAAACACACTGAAGGTCTTTTTGAAGATGCAGAAACCTGCTTAATTCACTATTCTGCTAAGTTTCTACTGTAAACAAATATGACCTCTATGGTTAAAAAAAAAAAAAATTAGGCTCCAGCTGCACTTAAACAGCTTTTAATTTGTTGGTAATTCTACAACTAAAAGCATAAAAACTCTAACTGGAAGCTAAGAACAACATAATTCCATAATTTTTAAAGCAAAAAATGCACAATTTACCAACATATAAGAATTTTTTTAAAAAAAAATGACCTCACTGAGCCAGGTAACAGAGTGTATGTGTATATATGTAATAAGATGACTTGGTGAAAGAGAATTGCGGCGGATTGACGATGGTTCTCTGCATTAATGACTTTGATGCACATCATCACTATAGGTGTGCTATGCACCCCACAGTTTTATACAGCTTACATTTCTTAAACAATGGACGAAAATTAAACTCTGTGTGGCTAATGGCAAAGTGATGCTGCTGCGAAATGGAGAAGAGAGGGGGAATTGTGATGCAATTACCTTTTATGCCATTACATTTCAGAATACATGACAGATTAATGTCCAGATTTCATCAATAAGTGCACATCAGAACTGCAGGGAGTTTAGTTTAAAAAATCATTGCTCTGTTATTTTTAGAATGAAAATAGAAGTTAAAAATTTATTATTGGAAAGATAGATTTTACATATATATACATGCATATATTCTAATATATATTAATTCTAATTAGAAATTATTTTACTTTTTTCCCTTGCTTTGGGGAGGAGCCAGATGTTTTGGTGAACTATTATAATTAAAATACACTGAAAAGGTTCATCGGTTAATTCTGGATACAGAAAAGCAAGGATTTTTGTGGAGGAGAGATTTCAACTGATTTCAATGTTCTTCCTTCTGACAAAGCGCATTGAAATTGATTGAATTTCTCTTCAATGTTCTTTTTTTTATATAAATTTCTTATTTTAATTGGAATATTGCTTTTTTGAAAAGTTTTTGTTTTAACTGTTTTAAATTCTTAATTGCATTTATAAGATTATTTGAAACTTATTAATTATGAATTTCAATTTTTGGTTTTTGTGAAAAATTAGTTTCTTACCTTTACATCTTTACTGATGATTTTTTAAGCAGCTTAATGCGCAAAAATACTGGGCATGTTTATATTTTGTTTTTAAAGAATTGTTTTGTAATTATATATATATTATAAAGTATGAATTTAACAAATACAAAAAAATTATCTCGTTCATATAAAGCTATATATATTACGCCTCAAAAATTTCTTCCTCCAAATACTCAAAAGTTATCTGCAAAACTAAAAACTTATATTATGGATATGCTTAAACTCATTTTGTATAAAGCTGGTATCATATTTAGGCTAACCTAAATTACTACTATAAAATAAAATAACCACTCATATTATTAAAGGAAAAATATGTTTTTTTAATACTATTTGACACTCTTCTTAATTTTTTTCCAGTAGGTGGGAAACAGTGTATATTATAAATTCTGCTAAGTAATAAATAACATATATTATAAACCTAACTAACAAAATACTGCAGACAATTTTTGATAGCAGTGGGGGGGGGAGAGGTAAAAGAATGAAAATTATGATGCTCTACAAACTAACCTGATCATATGGAAGTAAAGCATGGCTCTCAGCTCCATAAAAATTAGAATACCATATACCAAGCAAAGCCAAGATTACAGGAACCTAAATACAAATACGTTTTTCCATAAAAATTAAATAAAATCTTTTAAACACATTTTAAAATTACATTAATACATTTTTTTTTAATTTATTAAAACTTACATTTTTTTCCAAAGGTGTATTTAAAAAATGTTTATCCATGTAATGAGCACCTTCAAGCAATTGTTCAAAATTATCCATCCCTTAAACAAAAGAATCCAATAAACTAACATCAACTTATTTATATTGGGAAAGTTAATTTTCTGAGAATATATAAGATATTACTTACCTAAATATAAAGCGATAGAGAGTCCTATGGCAGACCATAATGAATAACGTCCTCCAACCCACTAAATTAAAAGGAAGGAAAATACTGATAAAGAAATCTAACTGTACAGGAAAATGCAATTACGAGCTTCCAAAATACTTACATCCCAGAATCCAAACATATTCTTTTCATCAATTCCAAACTCTTTGACTTTAGGCTAAAATCAAAATATAAGAGATAACTGAGAGTTCTTACATATGACACAGAACACAATGTTAATAAATGGCTTATTTAAAATAAAAATCAAACTTACTGCATTTGTTGAAAGAGCTACAAAGTGCTTAGCAACTGCAGATTGCTATAAAGAACAAAAAATAATTTTCATCATGAAATTTTCACCATGAAAATTTGTATAAAAATATTAAAGATTGCAATTTATGATTTTATAAATTACAAATCTAATTTGTCACTACCATTCAAAGCTGGCACAACCGACACCAAGCAGTTGCACAAGATCAAACTTTATCATTTTCTGAACATCTTTTCTGTAGTGATACTTTAAAGCTTTTATAATACTCAGGTCAAATGGCTGAATATTAGAAACTGTATTAACAGAGAGAGACACTTATGTTTTCCGAATGGAGATCAGTGTGTATGCTGCACAGTTACCCAATTAGGATTTTTTTTTTTTTTTGTCAGCTAGTTGTCACATAAAAAAATCAATAAAAATACTATTTTTCATCAATGAGTTCTTGCTACTATCATGAGTTAAATTTTAGACTTTCAAACACCAAGGTTTTCTGCTTTTGTCAATCATCAGTGCTGCCTTCTTAATTGCTGTTCCACATTACATGTTAATAACACTGTAACTCATTTCTTCAGTTGTGCTGTTTCACTTTTAAATGTACATTAATGATGCAATGCATCATTAATGTATGTAACATACATTAATGAATGTTGTTCTGTTAATAGTCCATAACACAATTCAGGTTCATCTGTACATAAATTTCATGTGGCTTGTATTCATATAGCAGCCTAGGTAAAAAGTTATTTATCTAGTTATCAGTCATAAGACTTTTAACTAGATAAATAACTTTTACCGAGATTGTTGACTGTAGATGAACATTTTTATATGTTTCTTTCCAAATCAGTTGACACAAAATTCTGTTCTATCATTTTAGTGATTTCTATGACTTTTATAATGAAAGAAAAATTCTAGAAATAAGAACATTTTTCAGTTTCATAGCTTGAAATCATTTTATAAAAGCATCTTCAGCTTCCTTTGATCTTCCGTTATTTTTGTGCATATTTCAGACATTGCACTTTGTATTAGTTCTTCATCAATAATAATTTTGAAGTCAATTGCACAACTGCTGTTCGGGAAATTCATAGTTTAAATGCAGCTTTTCTCTGGCTGAAATTACCAAGGATATTATAAAATTTTAACAATTTGTTCTTTTTTTGTTCTAGGCTTAAGTCTTTATGATTTGCATTTTAAATTTACAAGTTAACCATACAACAAATTTTTAAAAAATGTTCTTAACTCTTCTATTGATTAGTATACATTTGTTTTCCTTATTGGAAATTTGAATGTAATAAGCACCGGGTACAGTAAATCATCAAGAAAGAACACTTTTTCACGTGAAAAAGTGCGACTGCAAAATAATATTTGAGAGGCTGCCAAAATTGTACACAAAAATGAAGGGGGAGGAACTAATTTGCTTAAAAAAAGACAATTCATTCTGATAGCTAAAGGACATCTGCAGGTGGGAAAGCTGTAATAAACCTGCTGATGAAATATGAATGAAAAGCCTTACTTCATTCATTGTAAAACATATGCATGAATCCACCAAACATGGAATTCTTTCTCAAATTGAATGCTTTTATGGATTATGTTTTCTCTGAAAATAAAATTTTCTTCAGTGTTTACCTAAGCTATCCAATATCTGAATTAAAGTAATAATGTCCAAGGAATTCTAACTTTCCGAGACACCAAAACATGGCTACTGAGAAGCAATAGAGCTGCAAAGAATGATATCTCTGAAAAACTGTCTAAAATAAATAAACAAACAAATAAAATTTAGAGCATTACATTTTAAATTAGCTTCATACTTGTATTATGTGCTGCTTTAAAAGTAACATCACCACATTAATAATTTCCAGAAATGAAATTATTTGCCCATTTTGTTTATTACTCCATCCATTAGCATATTTATGTCCCTTAGCACATAGCACACAGCATAGTTTAAAACCACACAACACACAAAATGTAATTTGAGACATTAAATTATCAGTTGATAAAGAAGAGTGTCAATGCTCGATTTCTACTTCAAAACGCTACTACAAAAATAAAACACATTATATTGTATTCACATTTAAGACACTAAAGAGTTACAAATGGCTCATGAGCACCAAAGTTTAGCCATGTCTGATCTATAACATTGTTGTTATAAATTGGAGAGAGGGGGGAAGAACTCAAGAAAATTAACATTGAGATTACAATGACAAACTTTTATTTTTTCCCCTTCATTTATTGCAGTAGTTATTTGATTACAGCAGGTTTGAAAAATAAGTCTACCTCTCTCCTTGAAATAAGTACAAAATTTTGACTTTTTATAATAGCAAAATTTTCAAATTTAATCCAAATGAAGTGAACAAAATATAATATAAAATAATAAATAATCATACATAATTAATTTAATAATACTTTTCATAAATATAAAAATTAACAGTTTACCAACATTAACTAATATTTAGTATCCATAGGCAGATCAATGGAATGCTTACTTCCTAGTATTTAATTGCTTAAGTGAACAATCCATATATTCAGATTTATGGAAATCAGTTAACAAAGAAAGACCTAGGTACTAGAAATTCAGTCATGAATGCAGTTTTACAGATCCAGAAATTGGTCACTAATCAAGTATGATAGCTTAGTTTCTATTTTAATGAGACCTTCATATTTCACTATTTATCATATTTTTGCCTTTAAACATCATGGAATATTTTCGTACTCCTCTAACGGATATGTAACTAAAATTTAAAAAAACAAACAAAACTTACATCTTTTGCTGTTTCCAAGAACCACGCTTTTGCAGATTCAGCATTAGTTATAGTTTCTTGTGTTGTGAAAGTCTAAATAACAACAACATATTTAAAATATAAATTATACAAAATATTAAAAAAGTAGGAAACTTCAAATTATGATAGATAATTTGAAATGCATGAATAAAAACAGTAATTATGCATACACAGCAAATTATTAGTAACAAAGGATTTTTATCCTAACTCAGGAAAGAACCATTTAAAAATAATATATGAGGTCCAGTCTCATTTTAACAGAAGTGTCTATTTTTTTCAAACAATGGACAGAGTGTAACTTCTTCTCAATGTAACTCTCCTCTCCTGCACCCATATATATATATATATATATATATATATAATGTGTCTTTTTAAATCCAAACAATGGACAGAGTGTAACTTCTTCTCAATGTAACTCTCCTCTCCTGCACACCCATTATATATATATATATATATATATATATATATATATAATGTTGTATGATCTTAAATCCATTTAGTGCGAATACAGTTATATTATTATTACTTGCGCAAATGCTGCAAAGTTAGTTAATAATAGGAAATACTTTTACTTTTAAATACTTTTTAGGAAATAAACTTATATATATATATATATATATATATATATATATATATATATATATATATTTAGTTTAAAGGTGCATTCTAATGAAAATTGCAATATAGTATATTGTAAAGCTATACTAGAATTTATACAACTGAAAAAAACTGAAGTTTACACATTTCAAAATTTAAAGTTGATAATATTTAAATAAATGTCTCTGTTCATTTTATTGCACTTACATAAAGTTAAATTTAAGATTTTTGCAGTTGTTTTTGATCATGTACCATGCAAGAGCTGTTTTACGCTTTGTGCTTTATGTTAGCAGTTAAGTCCACTGGTCTGATATCTGATAATTTCCATCCAAGGACCATAAAAATTTATCCCTTAGGGAAGGGGAATTTTTTCCCAGTTAAGAACATCTGATTAATATAATAGAAACATATTCTTAGGAATAAATTAAAAATATTAATTTTTTTATAAATGACAAATTTAATATTTAACAAGTGTTACATAAAAACATTTATTCATTATTATTTTCTTCAGCCTTCAAATAATAAAGTACCCAGTAATGATATATCAGTGGTGCTCAGTTGGTGACCCACTGAGCGCCGCCTGAGATAACCACTGACCTGACTTTGTTGTAAAAGTCTTACAGTGTTAGTAGTCATCCTGGCAGAAGGGAAAATTTCCTCCGTGTAAAAATATACATATAAATATTACATGGGCATACAAGGCCTGTGTATAAGCATAGATATGTTGATTACAATCATTGTCTTGTACTAGTTACATATGATAGATACATAAAATCACGACAGCTATGTGTACATTTAGACATTATATGAATTCATATTTACAATACTTTTACTGAGATAATCAAAATTAAACTTGTAATTCATTTACACATTGACTGGATTTTCAATATCATTTAAACTGCTTTACAATATTATTTGGTGACCCACTGCACAATTTGGTGACCCACTGCAAGATTTATAAAATTTGTTATTACAGTAAAATAAAATGCAAGTTCTTTCAGAGGTAAAATTAAACCATCCAAATCACATAATCACAGTTAATATAAATGGGATATTTTGAAGGGTGGCCTCTGAAGAATAATTAATCACATGCATAGTCTATCATTCTCCTATAAAATAACCTTACAGAATACTTTTCATTAGATATTAGTCTCTGAATTCACATAGCATCAAATTTTAGGCACACTTAACACAGCATACCCAGCTGACCCCAAATCCATAATAATTGTTATTGATATTACTAACCATAAACTTCCTGATGTGCATATAGTTTATACTTTTTCCCAATAGCATATTGAACACAATAAATTAAATGCAAAATCTTTTTAAATTTCATTAATCAAACTACTCATTATATGTAAATACAGTTAGAATGTAAACTAGTGGAAGAAAACACACTACAGAACATAATATCTAATGTTCATTTGACACTGTGTATATATCAGGGATAGAATTTTTATTTAATAATGCTATCAGTCGGATTCAAAGTGACAAATGCCAGTTTTCAGTATGTGTTCCTAAGTCCAGCAAATTAAAGTTTTATGCATGATGAAAGAGTAAAAAATACAAGGTATGCATAGAAATTAGCTCATTTAAAAAAAGAAAAAATGTGCAAAAACGAGTTTGTTTATCCAAGAATATTCTGAAGAAGATCAAACTACCATTTTACTTGATCTGAAATAAATTTCTCTTGGACAAATTTAATAAAATAGTCTACTGTCAAGCAAAATACTGTTTGCTCTAGAAAACTTTCTTGCAAATAGATGTCAGAAGAGTCAAGAAAATAAGCTCATTTATTAAATATGGTAAAAGCTCAACTATTTAGAGAGCTCGGGAAATACCGATTTCCAGATATATGATAACGTTGCATAGTTAAGCATATGAATAATAGACTACACATTTGAGAGGCCAAATGAATGGGGAAATTTTCACTTTAAAGTTATAAAAACAGTCATCTTATTTGTTACCAATTAGAACATCAAAAAGCTTATACATTAAATTATACAAGATTTTAAAAAAAAATCAGACATAAAGGCTGATATATATTTCATAGGTCTTAAAAGTAGGAAATATCGTCAAACATTCTGGCAGAAATTTAAATGAACAGATTGTTCTTTATTTAGATAATAAACAGATACAAATTACTTATACAAAATTTTAAAAAAGTAAATTGTGCACCATAAAAATCTTAATTTTCTAGGTACATCGCCATTGTTCCTTTGGTTTCAGAATCGTGTTAGTTTTTTTTTTTTTTTTTTTTTTTTGTCTAGATCATGTAACTTTGAAAATACTCCACTATATGTTGTCTTAAATATATTTTTCAAAAATGCAACTTATATCCCTTTTTCCCAAAAAATAAGCCTCCTTATCGAGGATTAATTGAATTAACATTAAAGCAAAATAAACTTTGTATGACCGTACGAAGTCCATTATCCAGAATGATCTATAATCTGGACCTCAAAGCCACAAACTTACGCATGCGCGTAATGCGTTTATACACGCACGCTTGATGCGCGCGTCTGCTATGCATGCGCATAAAGCCAGTAAAGTGTTTACCTATGCATGCTTCTGATAGTAAAGAAAGTAACAGAGTACGTTATTGAAAATGAAAAAATTTCGATTGACAAGTTAGTCGGTATTCTCGACACAGCAATTACAGAACTTGAACAGTGAAATAGAACAAGAAACTAGAATAGACTAGTTCTATAAACTAGTTTGTTTATAGAATTAAAGAGAAAGTATTAGCATAAAAAATGAAGCAATTTAAACAACTTACATTGAAAGAAATGTTTAATAAAGTAAACAAATAAATACTAAGCTTTTTTTTTTTTTTTTTTTTTTTTTTTGTAAATTTTGATGCCCTTTAGATCATAATTTCTCTTTATTTCATAAATTATGGTTTCATATTTTTAATTGTATAATTAAATTGATGATCGATAATCCAGAAAAACCCCTAATCCAGAATCGCGGAAGTTCTGACAAGTCCGGATTACAGACTTTGTACTGTAATGTATGTTCACAACAACTATAATCTATATGCAAATCTCTCATTTATTACATTTTTTCTCGGGAAACGCTTTTTCTAAAATTCTTAAAATATTCTGGTTAGTTGAATGCCCCTTGCTCAGAATGAATTCATTGATATTCTAAGCTTGCAAGTTTTATGTATCGATGCTACACATGCTTTATAGAGGAATTTCTTACTTTCAATGCATGGCCACAACTGATGTTATTTAACCATATAGTTTCTACAATATTTTAGAGCAGCAAACAATAAACAATTGATAAAATGTGGCTGGCAAACCTCTTGTTTTTCGTCAGGGAAAAATGACCAGCATTCATTTAAAAAAAACTTTAAAAAATAAAATAATTAAAAAAATTATTTATTTTATTGTATTTTCTAAAACAAATTTTTACATTACAAAGAAGTTTTACATTACATTAAAAAAAGTTTTATATTACACCCAAAGTGGCTTTTTTTTAAAGTGTTTTGAGTAACCTTTTTTATTAAGTATCATGTTCCTCACACCTAAACCATTAAATTCAGTTTAAAAGCAATATTGCAAAATAATTTTAAAATGAGCATATCTTTAGAATTTCTGATGCACAGTCTTGCGACCTTGGAGATAAAAATGTCCCCCCCCCATACATTGTTGCCATAGTTTGCATTGAAATCATTGAGTTTGTTATTCGAAAATTCATTGAAGTTTTACAAAATATGAAATAGATGCTGAAACAAATTCTAAATTTGGGCTTCCAGATAGCCATATTCAAGTAGAAACATATGTTATTCAAAATTTTATGGCTCTAAGTACCGTCGTTTTATCACAATGCAAGAAACATACATACATTTATGCAGATTCTTCATTATTTAATGGCTTTAAATATAATACAGGGCTGTGATATTTTGTGGCAACAGTTTGAAAAGTGAACCAAAGTGAAGAAAGTGACACAGAGGTTATTGAAAATGAAAAAATTTCGATTGACAAATTAGTCGGTATTCTCGACACAGCAATTATAGTCCTTCCGTGTTAATTGAATTAATAGCCCTTCCGGGTTAATGCCCTTTGGGCTAAAAAACAAATAGAACTGAAATTTTCTCGAAGAAAACTTTTCTGAAGTACATATATGTATATACTAAAGCATTTTTTTATAATGAATGTAATAAAATCATCACAGAAATACTAACTGACTAACAGGAGGACTTTAAGAAAATATCACTACCAACATCAAAATTTGACTTGCATGATTTCATTGCTTTTCATGAGCATCTTTTATGCTTTCTTTAACTTTTATGCTTTCTTTAACATCTAAATTTATATTACAGTATTACTTTTCAAAGGCACAAATATTTTACTGGAAGATATATAAAGTCATTAATCCGGACTCGTCGGGACTTCGGCGATTCCGGATTATAGATCATCAGTTTAAATCTGGTAAGATGGCATGCAGAAATTATAAAATTAAAAATATGAAACCGTAATTTATGAAATAAAGAACAATTATGATCTAAAGGGTATCAAAATTTACAAAAAAAAGCTTAATATTTATTTGTTTACTTTATTAAACATTTCTTTCAATGTCAGTTGTTTAAGTTGCTTCGTTTTATGTGATAATACTTTCTCTTTAATTCTATAAACAGACATAATTTCTTGTTCAGTTACAAAGTTCCGCTGTTCAAGTCCTATAATTGCTGTGTCGAGAATACCGACTAATTTGTCAATCGAAATTTTTTCGTTTTCAATAACCTCTGTGTCACTTTCTTCACCATCGGAAGCGAATTATAATGACGAGGAATTTGATTTAAATCATATCAAAGACAGAGTACATCGAGATGAAATACTACATTTATTAAGGAATTATAAGCTAAATAAAATAAAAACATCTGCCCTGAAGATAAGGATAGTGCTGACAGATCAACTTCCAATTCATTGCACGCCGCGGCGTTTAAATTGATGATCTATAATCCGGAAGAAAACCCTAATCTGGAATCGCTGAAGTCTCGAAGAGTCCGGATTACAGACTTTGTACTGTACAACGTTTAATTTGTAACGCTCATACTTCAGATCTACTTTAAGATTTCATTTCTACCGGCCTTAATATGTCATTTGCAGAAATGATCCTTTAGAATGCACAGATAATTACAAGAACATACCTTCCTTGAATTTTTAATAAAGAATTTAAAAAATTGAACATTGTATATAAAGCAAACAGCAAATAAAATATATACCTTTGATGCTATAATAAATAAGGCAGTTTCAGGATTTAACTTTTTTAAAGTCTCAGCTAAATGAGTTCCATCAATATTTGAAACAAAATGAACATTTGGCCCCGTAGTGTGATATGCTTTCAAGGCTTCAGTTACCATTAACGGACCCTAAAATTAATGGCAGAAAAGCAAAAAATAATAAAAACAAATTAATCTTTAAAAAATAGCTCTAAATTACTGATATATACAGAAACAAAAAATACTGATTATAACAATACATGATACATATAAAGCACACAGTATAAACATATTTTATTAAGAAAATAAAAATCATTACAAGCATTATTAAAACTATCATACTAATTTTAAATAATGCTTCACATACCTCATATATAAAACTTAATTTTTTCCAGAAACATTTAAATAGCAGTAGTGCTCCTCATACACTCAATTCATAATTTAGGAGTTTGATGAACTCAAAAAAACTGCACTTAGAATAGTGCTTCATTTCAGCCATAGTGCAGTATAATATCCCAATTTTTTTTTTCTTTTCTCTCTCAAAATTTTTTTTTCACAAGAGGGTTCATATGAGCTCCATCATCTCCATATGTGTATACTTTTTTAATTATCCATCAGCACCTGTTAAAAAGGCGAGAACACCCCAATCTGTGCAAATTGCAATGCTATACTATCTGTGATTCGTATTTCAATTGACTGTTCAAATCGTAAATCTCCTAGGTTGTAACATTTTAACTCATTCAACCCATCTCTATTTCAATATACTGGAATCAAGCCTTAATTTAATATGTTTCACTTAATTAAAGGTACAATAAACAGTAAAACTTTAAATCTTGCTTATATTTTTGTTGTGTTGTTGTTGTGACATGTCTAACAGCAACATCAGAACAAGCTCACAAAATTTATCATGGCAGGGAGTGCAAGATTGCTTTTACGTACATTTTTAATCCACAGAAAAACATTTTTAACTTTCTGCAATTTTGGGGGGGGGGGGGGTACTTAGGCAACCTGCTAGATAAACTTGCAGTACTCTGCTGCTTGGATCATAAATATCTGCGACATAGATAACTTGTTTTGTTAATAAAGATCTCTTCACCCCTTCTTCCATTAACAACGCGTAGGTAGCAAAGAGGAGTGGAAACTGATTGCGCAAATATCAGTCAATCCATGATGGAAAGCAAATAGCCAGATCAGTGACATAGAAAGTTCTTGCACTAATTATTATCACCATTATTGAGTAAAATGAGACATTTTTCTAACAATTGTTCTATTTACTTTCCACATTGTTTATGTCTCTATAGCATCACAGAGGAAATTAAAAATAACATTAAAATCACCAAGACTTCTGCATTTTGAAGGCAGGTACTTGACAAGATTCTTTTTGATTTTCATTTTGAAGAATTCTTCATGGTAGTTATGTTAACATACCAAGTAGTTTGAAATCTATGTAGCACTTTAACACTGCAAACACTTATTTATTAACAGCCTTTATTAACCAGAAGTATTACTACTCATAAACGCAATACATTAACATATGTTTTACATGCCAGTACTCTAGCATTAAAAAAAAATATTCTTCTTAAGACAGAAAATCACAAGACAGGGGAAAAATATTTATATGGGATAGTATATTCATTGTACATGTACTGTTTAACAAGGTGGATAAGACAGTACCTACACCCCTATTGTTTTGTATGGTACAAAAATACAGTCAAAAGTCTTTAATCCGGACTCGTCGGGACTTCGGCGATTCTGGATTATCGATTTTTGCGGATTATAGATCATCAGTTTAAATCTGGTAAGATGGCATGCAGAAATTATAAAATTAAAAATATGAAACCGTAATTTATAAAATAATGAGCAATTATGATCTAAAGGGTATCAAATTTACCAAAAAAAAAGCCTAATATTTATTGTTTTACTTTATTAAACATTTCTTTCAACGCGCGGATGCGTAAAGCATACCTAACGCATAGCCGAAATTAGAAAATTGCAACCAGAAAACTATTTGATTTGTATTCGTGATATTTATAATGATGAGGAATTTGATTTAAATCATATCAAAGACGGAGTACATCGAGATTAAATACTACATTTAGTAAGGAATTATAAGCCGAATAAAATAAAAACATCTGCCCTTGAAGATAACGATACGTGCTGACAAGATCAACTTCCAGTTCATTGCGCGCCGCGATGTCCCCCTATACCCCCGCAAAGAGCAGCGTGAAATTGATAAACAGATTTCGGAACGGTTAGAAGAATAAAAAGGAATATGCCTTTATCCATTTTTTGTAGCAATTCGTTTTTTGTTTGATGGACATCGAAACATACTTTCGTTTTCTAGATCCTTTGGGAGCTCCAGCATCGGAAATTCTATTTGACATAATCGAAAGTTCAAGCTTACTTTTAGAAAATTGCTCTTACAGTCTGCAAAAAATAATAAGCCGGATCCAATTCGAAGATTAAGGAACAACGCAATTATCAACATTAACTGAAATAGATAATTAGATAATTTTAGCTTATACCGTCTGTTATACATTAAACGCGCACGCAAAAACGTATTCTGCACTTGCGCAGACGCATATGCGCAGTCGTAAATGTCTTGCGCGCACGAGTAAAACACCTATGTGCATGCGTGAATGCGGCGCATGCGCAGAAAGATTTTAGCTTTGATGTCCGGATTATAGATCATTCCGGATTACGGGTGTCCGAATTAACGACTTTTGACTGTATTGCAGACATATGCTTACCAATATTTGAAATAAAAAAATGGGAAGATAAGGTGAAAAAAATTCTTTGCAATTTTAAAGATTTCTACATTGCTAAAAAACCGAAAGCAATATGACTGTTTTATAATATAAGCAACCAATACGATTCCTTCATGGCAATGTAGTTTAAGAATTGAATAATGAACTGTAATTGCCATACTTTATATTCATAAAATAGAATTAGAGGGCAATGAGGCAACTTAGAGTTTTCAACTGTTCATGGGCGATCCTGCTAATGAGCATTCCATAATGCCGAGTTTCTGCAATTTTCTGATTATTTTAGCGAAAACAAATCACAGTGTATATCAGGGAAAAAACAGTACAAAAAATAGATAGATTATTTCTCGAAAAAGGTAAATAGCTACAGCCCAATGCTGAGTTTGTGCAATTCTCTGTGTTTTTATTATTATTATTATTATTACTTGTTAACACAACCACCTTGACACAATTTGGTGATTTTCACGACTTTTTTAAAAAAAGATTGCCAAAGTATCAATATTTACTGTAATTGGGCAAACATTATCAACATATCAGCAGAAAATAATGTTTAGAAATTTAAAATACAAATTTTAATTATTAAATAAGGATTATATATGATAAATGAAAAACTAAAATGCTTACATTTTTTGCAAAATCCTTCTGTAATTTTTTTCACTACTCATCTCTTCATCAAACTATTTTCACTTAAAAAGAAACCAAAGAACTGCACACACTTAGCATTGTGCACTGGCAATCTACCAAACACATCTCATCATTAATTCCCTTTACTGATTATGTAGCAAAATCCTTTATCCATGCAGAAATGTTATCTCAGTTTCTTCTGCTGCTGTCAAATTCCACAAGCACTTAATTTAAAATTGAGCTTAAAAGCCAAAAATATCAGGATTTGCCTATAAAAGTCATTGTATTACAAGAAAAAGAATGCATATGAAAATGGCAATGTTGCTTTACTGAATAACTATTAGCATGGTTGTGTTCTTATAATATATATATTGTGTTGCTTATAATATAACTATTAAAAGCATGTACATGGTTGCTAGAGTTGAGCCAATTTTAAAAATTCGGCGATTTCTAATAAGGTGGTTAAAGTACCAGATTTTTAGCAAAAACAGATTGCAGATACAAGAAGAAAAAGAGTGAAAACATTTGCTTTGTAAATGAGGAGAAAAACAGTACGAAAAAACTACAGGATGGATTACTCAAAAAAGTAAATATCTTATTTTCCTAATGTATCATATAATCCTCATTTAATAATTGAATTTTACATTTAAAACTGCTCAGCATTTTTTTTTAATATATATGCTTAGAATGTTAGCCGACTTATGATGACTATGAATAGTTTGGAAACAAAAGAGTAGCCAAAATTACCAACTTGCACTCAATAAGTAACAAAAGGGACAGAAAATTTATATTCATGCCTTCTCCGTGATTCAAACCTGGGCCCTTTGGTACAGCAGTCAGGGTCACTAACCACTTTCCCATCTAGGTGGCATAGAAGTCAGAATAGACAGTTACATTTTCAATATCACATTTTTTACATCACTATAACATTTTAAAATGTTCATATTCTTAAGATGTAAATTGTAATACTATATAATGTAAAATTTGTATGTCATTTTTGTTTTTAATTATAAATCATCATTCTTTTTCATCATCAAAATTGCCAAACCATACCAAAAGGCTGTGCTAATGCAAGCATTTCTTAAACTGCAAGTCACAAACCCAAATGAAGTCGCAGAATGAAATGTCGTAGTTGTGAAAATTGAATTCAGATAAATGAATTTAAAGAAATTGCATTAAGGAGCCTTTTAAAGAAGAAATATTAATTGGCTTTAATGTGATTAATAATTTGCTATATAAAGTTGAAAAATTATTTGGGTTAGAGTAGATTGAAGGTGCCCCCTGTTTTATCATGAAGTTGTTGTTTCATTTATAGTAACCTGAGTAATTGAATGTTATGGAAACGCTAGTATGACGTAATCGGTTCCGTGTTTGCCATAAATTTTGAATGATGGAAAAATTTTTTTAAAGGCTTGTGGTGTGTGTTGGTTAGGAAGTAGCATTGCTTGTTTTGTGGTTTAGATGGTAGAACAGCTGAATGTGGCAAGATTAATTTGAAATTTCTGTACAATTTGGAATGAAAGGGGGGAAAAGTGCATTAATTGACTGGTGTGTAAATGAAGGTGTGTAATGACTGGTGTGTAAATGAATTAGTAGCCATTATAATGCCCTGTTTGTAGGAAGGAAATGCATATGGTTGAACGTCGGCTCTACAGAGGATATTTTTTACTCTTATTTTTGTGAATTTATGTGGCAACGTTGATGTACGGATTGTAGTTCATATAATTTTAGGAAGATTTTGGATGCTGTTAAGGAATTTTATGTGCCACAGACTGAAGGAGATAGAAATTTCTGAATAAGGTAAAAGGATATTTGCTTTGTGTAGAGTTAAAATAGATTTAGGTAAGTGAAGTGCATAAGATAAATTTTCTTTTTTGTGTTATTTTATTGTTTGATTTAAAATGTAGTTTATTGAGATTATGTATTTTTTGTTTGGCTCTCCTTTGACTTTGAAGTGAAAATAGGTCGATGTCTAGGGAGTGTGCAATGCTAAGTTTGTGCAAGTTTTTTTTTTTTTTTTTTTTTTTTTTTTTTTTTTAATGTGAAAATAGGTTAATGTGTACATGGATACCGAGTTTTTTCAATTCTTCGACTTGTTATTTTGTTTTTGTACAGCGACGATTTTTGACGGTAAATAAAGCCAAAATAACAAGTCAATGAATTGCACAAAGTCAGCATCCATGTACCACCAAAAATCACCAATTTTTGCCTAAGGGCACCCGTAAATACATTTTTTTCATTATTTGTTAATCTATCGAGTAACTCAAATTTAAAACTTGAGTTTCTGCAAAAATCCTTGACTGAATTTTGAATTAGCGCTAGAACTGAATTTGTCATGTTCTGAAAAGGCATTAAATATTCTGTTATTTAAGCTCCATCACAATTGTTTTCAGCTTCAAAGCTTATAAATTCAGACAGCAAACAATGCTGAAAATTGTTGAAGCTGCTTTATGTACAGCAGTACCAAACACTGAACCAAAATTTAATTAATTATACAATAAAAAACAGGCAGTTTCATCTCATGAATTGGATTTTTTAATTAATTTTTGTGTATTTCAAACAAATACTAGATCTTCTTTTCATACGTGTACCAAAGTAAATTATTTATGTCAAAATAATTATTTTTATATCTTTATTCTATATTTATATGTGGAGTGGCGGAAAAAAAAATCTTTATGATAAAAGCGAATAATGAATGAAGTTTGAGAAACACTGTGCTAATATATATAAGTGCCTTAATTTTCAGTTTCCTAGCTGCAAAAATGTTATTTCTTAAATATGCACACTTTTTGACTTGAATATTTATGCATTTAAAAAAGAAAAATAAAGAAATCATAAATATTCTTACCAAATCTGATCCACCAATTCCAATATTTACAACATCTTCAATGGGCTTTCCAGTATATCCTTTCCATTCACCCTTTCGTACTAAGTCACTAAATTCTTTCATGTGTGCAAGTACTGCATTTACATCTGGCATTACCTAATACATTATAAAAGTGGTGATTACAAATTATTTCAATCTAGGCAATGAAAATTTTTTATTTATACTTTTTTTTATATGCTCAAAATAGATTTTTCCATTTGAAATAAACATTAAGATCATTACTACATTAATAGTTAAATGAATTAAGATTTTAACTTTCCAGATGAAAACTGATCTAAATGGTAAAATCATAGTATATGATAAAGCCTTAGTGCGATTTTTTTAAAAATTGTTGCCAAACCAAAATGACTCTCTTACTGCTCATCATCATGTCACCAAATCCCATGTGTACCATACACTAGGATTAAACTTACTAAACATATATTATCCTAAAATAACAGTTACTGCTACCAAAAATTATTTTTTGTTAAAAAAAGTATCATTTTCCCCACAACTTATGTTAGAATTTCAGAGCAAGAATGAAAAGTCTGATTTCAAAAGTAATATCTTTGTTGTCCTTATATTATATATTCAAATAAGAATGCAATGGTGACAGGAGTCAGAATTGTTTTTTAAATCCTATGGCAGGCACCAGTCCTAATAGAGTTGGACACATTATTATGCAGGCACTGAATAGGTGGGCCACTATTGCCTCCTATGAAGGGATAGAAAATTTACATTCATGCCTTCTCCAGGATTCAAGCCAGGTCCTTTGGTACAGCATTCAGGGTCACTAACCACTTTCCCATCTGAGTAGCATAAGAGTCGAAATAGACAGTTACATATTCAGTATGACATTTTTTACATCACTTTAACATTTAAAAATGTTCATAATATTAAGATGTAAATCATAATACGGGTTTTCATCCGCAGAGAACCCGTTACGAATGGTTGCAACAAGCGAATAGGTTGAATCCGGTGGGTTACCAGATTTTAACTATTATCGCCAAATTTGGCAATGTTTACATTCACCGGGTTCTCTCCGGAAGTGCTTCCCATAATACTATACAATCATATCACTACAAATATATAAGTAGGCAATTATTTAGAACAGATGTAATCTTATCCCTACAAAATTTACTTATTTTCATATTATTAATGTGTAAATAATTCAATTGCATTTAATAACATTATTTGAGCACATAATTCTTAATGAAGTTTATTGAATAAACATATTTTTATTAAAGGGAAAAATTTTAAATATTCTCTCAATTCTAAAACAATTATGAATCTTGTGTTCATAACTGACTTTTCAGTTCCTAATAAGGTCACTAAGGATTCTTTAGCAAAGTCTCACATCTAAAGCAGAATTATTTCGGTAGAATAAAACCTATTTTGAAGGATACTTACATCTTTTCCATCAACTGATATAGGAGTGTTACTACGATTACGAAGAGCTATATGCAATACAGCACGATTTTCAGTAAAATTTATCTTCTGTCCGCTAAACATTGCATCTCTAGCTTTCTCAACTTTCCGTTGTTTTGCCTAGAAGTAAAACAAACCATAGGAAACTTATCTTCATTAATGGCCATCAATTTGTTCTACAACACATAATGCAATTAACAAAACACTAACCAATTCGATGAGAAGTTTGAAAACTTCATCGTTGATTAGATTTTTAGAATAATCAACAAGAATTTCTCCATTTACAGGGGTCTTTAGTATAATGCTGAAATACGAAATATGTAAAATTAATTTCAGGCCCAATAATGATTAATTTTGTACTTGTAAAGACATAATATTTCCTACCTGAATTTTGCAAACCTGTCAGGATCACTAGAGAAGAGATTTTTCAATATGAGATTCTTTTTATTGTTTTCATAATAACTTTGCAATTTTTTGTAAGCATCAGCTTCTGGTAACAAACAGTCTTGTGCATCAACCATGTTTAAACAATACTTAAGCAACTAAAGGAGGTCGAATTTTAAGATTGTACTTCGTCTTTCAAATGACCTCGGTTACGGAAATCGGGAAACCCTTTTTGGTTTCGTTTCCGTGAGTGAAGGCAACCCGTGATTGGCTTAGGAAAATGTTTCTGTCATTGTAACAGGTGATTGGTCAAACAATGTTGCTAGTTGATTTCAGTAATTTCTTTCAAAATTGTCACTGAAAATCAGTTAAATTTAAAAAACAGTCACTGAAAAACATTTCATTAATTTAGCCTTTGTTTTTTCTGAATTCAATAATTTTCTGAATGCTGAAATGAAAAAGGGGATAAAATAAATAATGATGAACTAAAAAAATCATGCAAATAATTAAAGTAAATTTTTAACAACAAATTTTTGAAGAGATAAAGTTAGAAAAGAGTTGCATTAAACTGAAGCAAATAGTTATTGTTAACATTCATTATGTTTCAAAGCTGCTTCAAGAGCTACAATACATACAGCAGCTAACAAATTCTTTGGTTTTGCGGTAGGCAACCTGTTTGTGGTGTGACTAATGTTTGGGTAAATTTTGAAAGCTGGTGAGTGTACAAATAATTTATAAGTATATCATAACTTGTTACGCAAATTGACAGATTTAAACAGGTTAATGATTTATGATCAAATATGTGTTTTAATTATTTTTTTTGTTCATTTTGTCTATTTAATGACAGCGGGAAAAAATAAATGTTTAATTTTGCAATAATGTTTTGGTAAATGCCGACGTTTTTCATTCATCGATTGCCTTTTTCTGTTTAATAATTGCTCTCTTTTTTTATATTGCTGCTAATTAAAGTTTTTCTTAAATTTCTCTAGTGACTTTAACAGTTTATGCTGTACACATGTCATGTATCCTATGCAAATATACGTATTTCGGATGCGATTTAAAATGTTACATACAAAAATAATTTCAAAGGTGTTCGGTTATTATTGTTACTAATATTAATCCTCGTATTAATAAACTGTATATTCATTGAAACGACTTGTGAACTGAATATTTTAACTTATTATATTGTTATTGTGGACTATTTGTAAATATTAAACGGTATAGCAAAGTAAAAAACATCCAGTTTATTTGTTAATTTTTTTTTTCCTACATTTTCTAAAGCTCAAAAATGTCTAATGCTGCACCAGTGCCTAAGTGGTTAAGACTGCAGAATAGTGGGAGTTTGACCTCAGTTTGATGCCAGGTGAACAAGCTGACTCCTTCATTGATTTTCTCTGATCTTGATTGATTTCCCTGATTGATTTTCTTGGTGTTCCCTATATGCAATATGGATATAAGCCTTGAAAAGCTCTCCATAGAATCTTCCCTTCCCAAAGGCAGATAGCCCTTGCATATTTTGCCACATTCAAATAACCTAATCTAAAAATGCTTAGTATGTACTTTTTTTTTTTTTTTTTTTTTGTACATAAATATATTAAGCATTTTAAAGTTAGACCTGTTATGCTGGGTTTCTATCTTCAGTCATGTACACCACTGACACAAAAAATAACATGCTTATTTAATTTAGTAAAACTTCTGTTTCATTTTTTATGTAAATTATAAGTTGATGTATTGATAATTTGCTTTTATTAAAGCTACGACTCTAGTGTAGAATTGGGTGCCTCTTCGATTGGCAACAAATTTTTCGGTTTCGTCTGCGCAAATCTCGCAAGCACACTTTGTTGGTGACAACATACTGTATACACATAAAAAATGTTAATAAACGTCTGTTCTAATAATTTTTTGGTTGATCTTTACAATATGGTAATTGGTAGTTTGGCGACATTTTGGAGGCGATAAAGGTTAACTGGGACTTTGGTAATATGTGAGCAGTACTCAGTTCCGATTACGCATTATTTGTTGTGAGGGAAATGAGAGATAAGGGAATGTCATGAGAGATTATGGACGAATACGGTTCTTAATCGGAAAAGGGGAATCGGAAAAAATCTGAAGTATTGTATTGGCTTTATTCTGTGTGGTGAACAGTGTTCGTGAATTTTGGATCCATGTCGTAACTGATGAATTCGAATGGTATTTATGAGGAATTAATGTGTGACTCAGTTATATTTAAGTAGGTTTTGAATTAATTTATTTTAATAAATGAAGTTTTTGTGAATTTGTTGTAGGATTGGTATAGTTAGTTAGTAACGTGCATGTAAAATGTAAATATCTGACACTAAGTATTTGTATGGTTTGCGGTATGAATCGTGTGATGTGGAATGTAAGAGATGATTTGAGGTAAAAGTTTTGGATATTTATTTATTTATATGGGAAAGGTTAGATTTGTAGAGGTAAATACCGCGATCAGGTAATTTATATATGTTCTTGTACCGGGTTTAAAGTTGAGAAAATTGTCGTATTTTCGTGAATTTTTTCTTTATGAGAAAAAGCAGTACATGGATATAGGAAGGGTGCCAAGCTTTGTGCAATTCGGATTTTTTTAGTAAATAATCGAGTTGTACTAGTTTAGATATTTAATTAAAGGATAGTTATTTTGTGAATTTATGTTTTAGGAATTGTACACGTTAAGTTGAAGTAACGTGCATGAAATATTTAAATTTTGTACTAAGTATTGTAATGCTGCGGTATGAATTTGTGGTGACGTGTATATGTAATAGCGATTTAGAGGTTTTGGATTTTTTAGTTTATTTTTATAGGAAATGTTATATTGGAAGGGTAATACTTTTTCGCGTAGGTAATTATATATGTTCTTTTTACGGGTAAAGATTGAGAAAATTGTCAGTAGTCGGAATTTTTCTAATTTATGAGAAAAAAGAGTGACAGGCTAAGAGTGGAGCATGCATTTGTGCCTTCTGGAGTTTTTAAGTAAACTAGTCGGGTGTACAGGTTAGAGTATGTGTTATTTTGAAACCGCGTAGAGATGTATTGCATTTTTCCAATTTCAGTGAATATTGTCATGATAGCAGTTTGTTAGATAAAATTTTGCTCAGTGTAACTTGCTAGTGATTGTGAGAAGTGTCAGTAGAAAAAAGAAATAAACAGTCTTTACTTCATGAGACAAATGGCGGCGGGAAAAAAAAAATGAGGGTTGCTGTAGGAGAGTGGTCGCCAAATTTCGCAAAAAACCCCAAGTACCAAATGTAAAGATCAACACTTTTATTTGACGGCATAAACATTTAATATGGTTAAAATTTTTAAAAGACAATAAATTTGTAAAAGACATAAGCATTACATGCTTTCATGGTTAACTACTGATCGGGTTTGTATCGCGTCGTTGTATCGCTGGTTTGTACGCGCGCTGAGCTCAGTGATCTTTTCCATCAATACGTTACAAAAATCTAATTCTCTCAGTAATTATTACATAATTTCGAATTAATCTTAATTGGAATACAGTTTAAATGCAAGAATTATTTCAATTTCATACAAAAGCTACTCCGAAATTATGTAAACCACATGCTTTACTTCGCTTGTGCATTTCATTGAATTGATGAATTAACTTTGCTTTCCTTTCTATATTTCCTTGGGGAGGGTGTGATTGCATTCTAATTGACTTAATTACCGCGAGTGATCTTAGGGCATAAAATTAAACTATCTTGTTAAAATTCTATGTAATTGTATACCAGTATTGAAAGAAACAATCAAACTGATAAGAAATGGCTGCGACTTATTTTGAAAATGAGGCATAAAAGGTTACCAGCGGCGAAGATACTCCGTTTGGCATCAGTTGTACTACTGTTGGCGACTTTATCGTTTACGCCGCCAAAACGGAAAAGTACCCAAATTTTGTTCAATTTTGGCGATGAAACCCCATTTCTGGTTACCATGATAGTTTTAGCTTAGTTTCAGCTTCCATTGCCGTCACCTTAGGGTTACCATAACTATGTTTTAACCTTATGCGTGGGCGTAACGAGCTCAAAATACCGGATCAGTCCCGAATCTAGCGGGGGGCAAGCCGGGGTTTTTGCCACAGGCGGCAACTTTTGAGGGAGGCAAATTCAAATATAACGCTGGATCGTTTTGGTATGTTGTTCGCTAAAAAGCTCTCTAATTTAAGTACAATGTTAATAGTTTTAAGGCCAAGTTTCAATCTTTTAAGAGATTGTCATTAAATTAAGAACCGTTTAAAGAAAATGAGTTAAACTAAAGTACAGCCGATTACAACTATAAATACAAGATCAGAAAGAGGCCAATAGAGGGACTCCAGGCGTCACTGATAGAATGAGACTGACCCTGTCAGTAACATCTGGAATCCCTGTATCATTTGCTGTCTAGGCCGTTCGTATTCAAATAATAAATAGAACAATAGATAGAAGAAGTCAGCTGGTTCCCATAGCAATGTCTGCTGGTGTGCAGTGGTGTGCTGCCCAGTGCATTTAACACAACGGGGAGCTAGAAAGCAGTTTTCTGATGAATGATGCCATTTCTCGCATTTATGGCATTGGGGGATGAGATTTTTGTTAATGTATTTTTCAATCTGTACAATGAAAAGTGACATGTGTGATATTGAATATTTCGTCTACATTTGGTGTGGGTAAAATTTGAATTTGTAAGAGAGGCATGAGTTGTCATGTGCGATTACGAGTCATTTGTACGACTTTGTGTATGGTGAAACCTTCTTCTGTAAGTATGTCACAAATTTCAGTAATTTCCATGTCAATTGGGAGACCTCTGATCACTGCTTTTATGGGACGTTGCTTTTTGGGGCTTATAATGTAATGTTCTACGTGTTTGTCTTTGAGAAATTGCTGAAGTGTTCTGTGGTCGTCGGGAGTATCGGGTAAAATTCTGAGGAATTCTCCACTGATTTTTCCCAAAAATTTTGCTTTTGTTTGGTCTGCCAATAATTTTAAATTTGTAGTTTTCTGTTGGCATAATTGGTAGAACTAATTTGAATTGAGAAGTGTCTGTGAAGGGTCTATCTGAATTTTGAACTGAAGTGAATGGTTGATTTGTGGTGTTATCCACAGTCCTGTTGTCATGTATAATATTATTAGTGGAGTCCAGAGGACTAAATTTGTTTTTGGTGGCTACATCTGAGGGGGTATTGGTATTTTTGACCTGCTTTGCATATTTAACGGGCTTAACAAAGCCATCCTCAATTTTCGAATTCTCATCGGAACTATCTGAAATATCTTGTTTCTTACGTTTAGAGTTTAGGGTTGATCTTTACAATATGGTAACTGGTAGTTGGCGAATTTGGAAGGGTAAGGTACTACTGCATTTGGTAATAATGGAGCAGTACTAGTCCGATTAGCAATTTGTCTCTGAGGGAAACGAGAGTCATGGGATCTGTCAATGCTATTAATGACCAATTACGGTTTTAATCGGAAAGGGGGGAAAGGAAAAAATTGGAAATTTGATTGGCTTATTCTGGTGTGTGAAAAGTGTTCGTGAATTTTGGATCCCAGGCCGTAATAAGTGATTCGAATGGGTATTTATGATTATTAATTCATGTATGCCATTTATATTTAAGTGTGTTTTTGAATTCATATTTTAATTAAATGATAGTATTTTGGAATTTTATGTTGTAGGAGACGTTTAAGTTGAAGTAAACAGCATGGAAATAATTTAATATTTGATACTAAGTATTTGTTG